TTAATTGTGTTTAAGAAAACTCTTGAAGAAATTCGAAAAAAAAGCCTGTAAATCAGCGACAAAAGGGATTCGGCATTGTGCTCTAGCTGTTTCGTCTGTTTTTAGTGTGTGGTGGAAGTTGGGGCTTCTAGCATTATACTCGATAATCGAGAGCAAGAGATACAAGTTGAGCAAAATGACTCGACGACCAATGACGTCATTACAACGATGGGTACAGTGGCTACCGAGGAAGTTGGTAGTCTCGAAGTCGCTTTCCTATATGATGCCCCAATGCGTGAGATGACGGTTTGTATATTATAATTAACATTTAACCATCAATTTCAATTTTTATAATTATAATCTTTTTTTGTATTTTTGACATTTGCTTAAATAAAATGACAAATTAAATTGTTTTCCTAGGTTCACGTGTTACAAGGGCGGAATTATCCTGCCGGCATTAACGGCAGTCAGGTACGGCTAGTCCTGCTACCGTCGAAGAAGCAAAGGCGCAAGACGCGGGTTCGGCAGGGGACGTCTCCGCAGTACATGGAAAGCTTTTTGCTTCCTCGTGTAAATCCCGAGGATGTAAACGCAATGGGAGTGCGGCTCAGAGTGTACCTGTGGGGCGGCAGAATGATGCGCCGGGAAAGACTGTTGGGCGAGGCCAGAGTGTCCTTCGATCAGATCAATCTCCAGTTGGAGACGACCCTCTGGTTGACTCTTCAACCACCACTTTCTTCCTCGGTAAATTATTCTTAAAATTTTTACTCCGATTATCGCTAATTAAATAAAGATATAATTATTTCCTTTTGATATCTTCTTTTGGTAGTCGATATCGTGTGATGTGTACTTAGACATCATCTATGCCAAGATCGGAAATTGTGTTACACTTTCCAGGCACAGGACTGGGGAACCACCAGCAGTCTGACTCGCAGCGACTCCACGGGATCTCAACAATCGGTCCAGTCGTACGCCTCTCCGGCTATACCGCCTTACGGCAGCAGCATGAAGGGGGGCAGCGTCGCGGAGATCCTAATCGGCTTGGCGTACAATGGCACGACAGGTCGCTTATCGGTCGAAATAATCAAGGGTTCCCACTTCCGCGGTGGGGGCGGAAACGACACGAAGCCTCCCGACACTTACGTCAAATTGGCTCTCATCGATACCAACAATCACGAAATGGGCCGATCTAAGACCGGTTTGAAACGCGCCCAGCCGAATCCCCTCTACAAGGAGACTTTTATATTTCAGGTAGTTTGTTTTTTATATGAAATATCTCTAGACTTATTTTTAACTCTTTAGCTTCGGCGTGTT